GCACGTCCCCTCTGGGCACCACCTCAGCACGGCCCTGTCACCCAGCTGCTGGGACCTCCTGTCACCCAGCTGCTGGGACCCCCTGTCACCCAGCTGCTGGGACCCGTTGTCCCCTGCCACGTGAGTTCCATCGCCCCATCTGCACCCCCCAAACTGCCCTAGCACCCCCTGATCCTGCACCCCCCACCCCCAAGGTGTGTGTCCCCTGTCCCCACTATGGGACACGACCTTGGACCCTGGCTCTGTCCCCCCTGCAGGGGTGGGACCAAAGGTGGGTGACATCCAGGCTGGGAAAGGGAACAGGGGGGATGCTCTGGAGGGGCAGGGTCCTGCTGGGCAGTGGGAGGATCAGGATGGGCCCCCCCATTGCTCCCTCAGGGTGGTTGCCAGTACAGGACCCCAGCCTGGTGCAGGACCCCTTCCCAGTACAGGTGCCAGGGACCCCAATTCCAGTTCTGGACCATCACCCCAGTCTGTGCTTCTCCATCATGGAACAGGTGCCAACATGACCCCCTCATCCCAGGATGAAACCCCAGCTCCAGTATGGGTGCTGTGTGGGACCCCCACCCCAGTGCAGGACCCCATCACAGCACTGGGCTCCCATCCCAGCATGGGTACCCATAGGGAGTCTCCATCCCAGTACCAGGCCCTCATCCCAGTATAGGACCCCCATTCCAGTACAGGGCACCCCATTCCTGTACCAGGTTCTAATCCCAGTATGGGTGCTGGAATGGGACCTCTCATTCCAGTATAGAACAGCCCATCCTGGTACCAAGTCTCCATCCTGGTACAGCTGCTGGGATGGGACTCTCCATCCCAGTAGGGGTACTGGGTCCAAATCCCAGGACAGATACTGGTCTGGGTCCCCCATTCCAGTACTGGGACAGTACATGGGACAACCCATGCCAGTACTGGTCCCCATCCCAGTACAGACCTCCCATCCCAGCATGGGATGTTCCATTCCAGTACCAGGTCCCCATCCTGGGATGGGTGCTGCTATGGGATCTCCATCCCAGTACAGGCACTGGGATGGGTCCTCATGCCAGTACCAGGTCCCCATCCTGGTACAGGTACCATTATGGGATCTGCATCCTGGTACCAGCCTCTTATCCCAGGACAGGAACCAGTACATGCCCCCATCCCAGTTCTGCCCCCTCCCCATCCCAGTACACACACCGTTATGGGATCTGCATCCCAGTATGGGCTGCCCTCCCCAGGAGAGGAGCCAGTACCACCCCCATCCTGGGATGGGATCTGCATCCCGGTACATCCCATCCCGGGACAGGATCCCCATCCTGGGACAGGATCTCCATCCCGGGACAGGATCCTGGGACATCCCATCCCGGTACCACCCTCATCCCGGGACAGGATTCCATCCCGGTACAGGATCTCCATCCTGGGACAGAATCCCGTTCCCGGTACAGGATCCCCACCCCGGTATTCGCCCCCATCCCGGTACAGGATCTTGGTACAGGACACCCCATCCCGGTACAGGATCCCCATCCCGGT